CAGAGATGCCATTCACACCCTCTACACAACCAAAAACAGATGAAGAATTTGAGTGCATAAGTGTATTTCACTCCATAAGTGGATGCTGAAAGGGGCCTTGGAAGCACCATGGAATTTTCTTCCAGATCTTGCTACTCAGTGATTTCTTTAGCAGCAGCAGAGTGACTATATTATGAAGACTCTCTCCCCAGGTATAATGAGAGGCTCTTATCAATAGTTATTACATAAGCATGAAGATTTTTCAGATGTTTAAAAACAGATACTGATATTCCCACTATACTGTACTATGGCCTTTCATCAATAAACTTGTCCTATTAGATTTTTTTTCTCTTACTCAGCTGAAGAATAATACTTGGTCTTATCTAATGCAAAGTTCTTGTGATCTTGTAAACTATAAAGCCTGTATTTGTAGTCCTATTATCACCAGGTTCTCCTATGAGGTTCTAACTGAAGGTCTTCAGATAGTGGAGCAAATAAACCAGTGTGCAGAAAAGATCTCTGAGTACCTAGAGGAAAAACTATGGGCTGCTCAGTGAATAACTGCCACAGCATTGTTATTTAACTTTTTTACAAAATTATTGCGAATTACCCTAATTTCAGCCGATAGACAACATGAAAGTTTATATCATAAGGATATTAATTATAAGGCAAGTGATGTAGCTATTTTGTTAATTCATACATTACTTCATAGAAAAAAATTTACCTGTTAATACATTATGTTAATACATAATGCATACACAACAGTTCATATTTGGCTTCTAAACTGATAAATACGTATAGCACAAGTACTTAACCTATTTCTCTTGTGACTGACAGGAACTCTCAGGTTGGTTGTCATGTTTGAGCATCACGGAAGAATTTCTGGTTTTCTTTGTGCCTTGTTTCTCCTGTTAGCAATGCCACAGGCTCACTAGGCGCTTTGATACCTTATCATGTGCTATTAACAAATATTAATGCAGATAAATTTTAATCAGTGAACAGATTTTCCAAATAATATAGGATAAAGAACAGTGTGTGGAGGAATGATCAATGTACACTTATGGTTTCAAAAAAGTGACATAATATTAAATAATTTCAAAGCTTAAACTGTAGGTGAACTTTGAATTTTATTTATGAAATTTGCTTCTGAATTCAGTGTAGTTTTAAATAATAAATAAGAAGACAAGAATGCTAAGATATTTTATCATTATTCAAATGAAAGAGCATTTTTCTTCTGACAAATTGAGAACCACAACTGCTTTCTCCTCCCCACTCTACCAGAAAGCCCTTTTGTATGGAATTTGCTTAATTATATTTTATTGTGAACATTTAGGGTTTTACTTCAATAATTATTGAATTTAAGGAATTTAAATATTAATTATATACACTGTTATTTTATTGGTAGGTGGTATTCATTTCCTAAAGAGTTTAGTAACTCAGATCAAAGCAACCCATATTTAATATACTCACATACATCCCATAGCAACTTAGCTACCATTTTTAGTTACATGGAAAACCGTATTTAGGGTAAAATAGTAGGTGCTTGCTTCTTCAACAACTTATGCTTAGTCCACTGTCAACCAAACATGCTAGTGATAATGCCATTTTCAGAAGGCCACTGTTAAGTTCTATGCCAGCACAATACCAAGGACAGAAGATGGGAATTGTTCAAATAGCTTAAACTCCTCCAGAACGTATAGATTAGGCTGACATTCCCAATCATATGACAGGAAATTTGTAGAATGGAGAGACAGCTAAGTTCTAGTTTCTGCCTTTATGTACCTCACAATGTTGACAAGAGATCATGAGTCACAAGATAGTAAGTGATAATATAAAATAGTATGGCACTTTAAGAATAAATAAAATGGTGACAATATAACAGTCTAATGGATGAAGGTTCACTGGGTGGAAATTATGAGAGATTCTTGATGAGTTGAGGGATTTCTAAGGCAGCGTTAGGTTAAGTTGTTCAATTTTAAGGAGTGGATGAAGGAGACAGAGGCTTAAAAGTAAGAAACAACTAAAACAACCAAAGAATTTGACAAGAGCATAAGTTCATAAAGTAAAATGTTGTGATGTAATTCTGAAAAAGGATTGAAGCTAGTTTATGAAAGGATTTGAACATCAGGCTAAAGAATCTGATGTGTTGTCCAAGGTAACAGCATTAAAAAATTTCTACACTGAAACCTGATATAGTACAAACCTTATTCTGGTATTGGTATATAATATGGCAGAAAAAATACAGGGGGTGGGAGGACAATTGTTAGGCTGTTGCAGTGGCCATGGCTTGCAGTAAAGAGGACCAAGCTTACGTTGTTAAAGGGAGAAGGAAGGAAAGGCACATCTTAGGAGCAAGGAGCTGTAGAGTCCATATATCCTGGTGATTGATTTGAATGTGTGCAACAAAGAATTTGAACAATCAGAGATAATTCCTACATTGTAAGACGAGTGAATTATGGTGGACAATGTTTGCACCATTATTAAATGTAATGAATCTGTCATCCAGAGAAGCAGGACTGCAAGGTAGGATAAAAATTTTTACTTGGGTTATTGTACTATGGGTAGAGTGCAGATTAAAGCCACGTGGTTTGTTTTTTATCATGTACTGTGGTCTCTCTAAGCACATCAGTGCAAATATTCTCCATGAACTCATTCAGGGATTCCACCTGCTCATCAGGAATTGCTATAGCAGAGAAGAGAAGCACTAGAAAATGTTGCATGGGCTTTAAACCTGCTGAATCATATTGGAACTGACACACCTCACCTGGGTCACATTGCATTGTCACATGGCTCCATGTGAGTGCAAGGGGGTGGAGAGCTAGACCTCTGTAGGACATTGGTGAACATTAACAATGCCTACTGCAGGTGCATTGAGTGTATGGTAGACCTTTCAACAGCTTTGGGTAGTGTGTATATGAAAGGGAGAATAGCAGGCAGGAAAAGAATGTCTATGGAAAGCCCCACTCTGTACACCTGCGTGGCACAGCTAGAAGAACTGTGAGCTCCCAGGTATCTCTGCTTGTAAGCAAGAGCTATTTTTAATGAGCTGTTGGGTGTAGAGAAGCAAGTGGTTCATTGCACAATGTCCTCTCATAAGGCTTGTAAGACTTTCTGTACCTTTTATATGTAGGACTGCTAAGTGAATTCTTTATTCTGACTCTGTATTACAACATGAAGCTCAATATTTTCACAAAGTAATTGTGAGAAACCAGGGAAAATATCCAGTAAGATCTGTGACAGAAAGACACTGTCAACTTTTGTATACTTCGATGCCTTGCTGAACTGCAAATAGCAATCTATGACATAATGCAGAATTTGTTTAAATGTTTCACTGTGATAGTAGGTTAGATGAATGAAATTTACAGTAAAATCTACTATTTACCTCCACTATATCAAATATAGCATCCTTTCTCCTTCTCAAAAGTCTCCCTTTGGAATGACATGTGACATAGTCAACACTATGATTTGATCTTCAGCACTGGTCGTTGTTAGATTGCTATCCATAATTTTTCTGTATTCCCCTTTGTTGTCATCTTTTTCTTTTTTGGTGGTACTGTGGTTTGAACTCAGGGCCTTGTGCTTGCTGGGCAATTTCTCTACCATTTAAGCCATGACCCCAGTCCTTTTTGCTTTACTTTATTTTTCAGGCAGGGTCTAGTTCTTGCCTGTGGCTGGCCTCAGACTATGACCCTCCTGTACAACTGGGATTACAGAAGCCCGCCACCATGCCTGGCACTAGCTTTTTTGCTTCCACTGGCCTTGAACTGTAATCCTCTCAGTCTTCACCTCTGAGTAGCTGGGATTACAGGTGTAAGCCTGGCCAATTTTTCTTGTTTTATTTCTGCTAATTATGTGCAACCATATACAATGCATTCATTAACATTTTCTGAATATGAAGGTAGATTGGAGAATTGAAATAAATTATAGAGGTAAATAACAAATGCACGTATAGTACTTCAAAACCTTATATGTAAACCTTATTTTTAAACTTACAAGCCTTATACACATAAAACCTGTAAGTGTGTAATGCTTATACTTAACAGCTATAAGCTGTAGAAATCAAGTTGATGAGTCACACTCTCACTACAAATGCTATGCACAGCTTTTCTAATTTTTTAAATGATACCTTTAGAGATGGTATGATGCAACACAATGGGAGTCTGTGTGGATTATTGCCTCTCCCAAACATGTCCAATTCATAGTTAGGGGAAAGAAGACAGCCTGTACCAAAGCATGGTACCCCAATATCACCAAAAGGAAGCATTATATCGGAAATTCTTCCAGAAATGCCCAGGTAATTTAGCCAACAAGACAAGTCCATGCACCGTGTGGACTCCAGAAGTCTGTGGTCTTTTAACTGAAGGCATGATTTAAAAAATGCAGGTTGCTTTTGAAATACTCTGCATGAAAATATGACTGAGGGTTTCTGAAAGCCACTCAAGCACAATAAAGGGCGAATGCATTTAATAAAACTCAGTGCCATCCCACACAATGAAGCCCTTTAAAGTATAAAGTAAGCTCAGTACAAGCAACTATAAAAAGAATAGAATTTTAAAAACACTTTTTGAGTCAGAAGCAGGATTTTATTAATTTACTTTTAAATGACATCTTATTTCAGAAATCTAGTGTCAAAAGGATTGCTTACCAAGGCTCCTATGCAGACTGATTTTTAATGCTCAAGATCAAAACTTTACTGTGAGCCACTTATGATTTACCAAGATTAAAACTATCATTTTCTCCTTTACTTTTAAACTTGGGTCATAAAGATATAGGCTAAAAATTGCCTTTTTAAAAATAAAAATTTACAGCAAAGCACTTCATTTTTAAAGACATTGCCTTTTTATCCTGTGACCTTAATTAGTACAAAATTTAAAATAATTCTTGACAATGTTATATACTGTTAACAAACACAGGATACACAGAATCATTCACACCAGAGATGAAAAAGGCACTGTTGAATTCTTCAGGGAATCACTAGAGAGTTAGTACACAAGACAAGAACTGGTGGGGTACCTTGACCTCTAAAAGGGGAAGTAATGCAGTGGTTCCCTGTTTAAAATCTCAGTCACGCTCCTCTTGCCATATGTGTTGGATCCCACGTTGGTAAGTGGGAGAACAGCACCAAGGTTGTTGCTGGAATGAACGAGGAAGTTTGCCAGGCGATGTGTCGCACACGTGGCAGTGTTGCATTTCCTTTTGTCCACTCGAGGACCACTGAGAAAATGTTGAGAGGTCAGAGACTTAGATTCAGGAGTAGATGTGACCACTGCATCTCAAACACCCCATATTCACCAAAACTAAAGGGGATATTTTCACAGATGTAACTCAGTGTTTGGGTGTGTAGGCCTCTCTATCACAGACATTTTACACCTCAAAGGTACAAAAAAAATCAATTTTTGACAGGGAAATCATACATCTTCTGTATTGTCATTATATTTGCCAGGAAATTCTTTCTTTGGGAAAGTCATTGTGCAATTCAAATAATAAAAATAAAGTGTCTTTGTCATGTTCTTTTAAACCTCATTATTGAGCTTGTTTTCTAACATATAAAAAGATTTAGAATATAAGATATATCTAGCCTGAGATATGTGGAAATTAAAGAATAATTTCTCAGGTCTTTCCAACAAAGTTAAGCAATAGTACTTAATTTTTGTTGAGTTTTGGTGAGTTCCTTGAGACTATTCAATCAGAAATGCAAAGGGGAAGATGTCAGAAGGAAATTGTGCAACACACGACAATGTGGATGAACTTTGAGGATAAGTAAAATAAGCCAGTCATTGAAAGAAAAATACTTTATGATTTCACATACATGAGGTATCTAAAGTCAAATAATTTGATTTATGAATCGTGGACTGGGGATGGGGGATGGGGTCCTAATCAAGGGACATAATTTTTCACTCAAGCAAGGTGAATTCACTTTAGAGCTCTGTTGTACAACATTGTGCATTAGTCAATGATAATATATTGTCCACTTAAAAATTTGTTATTGTCCCCTTAAAAATGTTCTTATCACAATAAAATAAAATGGGATAACATAAAAAAATGAGGCAGGGTGCAGTGGCTCGTACTTGTAATCCTGGCTACTTGAGAGATGGAGATATGTAGGATTTGGTTTGAGACCAGCAGAGCAAAAAGTTCTTGAGACCCCCCCCCCCCAACTCACAATAGCTGTGGATGGTGATGCACACCTGTTATCTCAACTTTGCAGGAAACATAAATAGGAGGATCACGGTCAAGCCCAGCCAGGCATGAATTGAAAGAATAACTAGCAAAAGGGACAGGGGTGTGGCTCATGGTAGATCACCTGCCACGTACATGCACAACCCTGAGTTCAAACCCCGGTACCACTTCCCCTAAAAGAATAATACACAAAAATAGAAAAGTATTCTGTTATCATTAGTGTATCTGAACAGTTCCATCTTCCCACCACCTATCTGGATCCAGTGCTTTTTGATAATTTTAATGATACACCCAGTATTAAAACCAAAATGGTGTTTGTTTTTTTTTTCTGGAACTGGGGGGTTTGAACTCAGGGCTTCACGCTTTCTAGACAGGCATTCTGCCACTTGCGCCACTCTGTCAGACCTCAAAAAAGTGTTTTATGCTAACAGTATTAACCACACATTTAGCCACCTGGAACAATTGCAAATTAATAATATAGATAAGTAAGAAATCATAGCAGAATTTAAAAATTCATTTCAATTTTAACATATTTCTATTTAAAATTTTATTCATATCAATTACATTTTTGCAGCATTGTCTGTTTCAATGTGTGTGCTAGCTTTCTGTTACTGTAGCCAGCACCTGAGTTAAGTCAACTTGAAAAGCAAAGGCTCATTTTAGCTCATGGTTTTGGAGGGCTCAGTCCAGGGTCAGTGGCCTGTTGCTTCTGGGTCTGTGGAGAGGAAGTACATCACAGTGGGGAGTGCGTGGTAGAGCAGAATGCTCACTTCATAGAGAGGCAAACAAAAAGGGAGAGGAAGAGACTGTGGTTCCCAAATCCCTATAACAGCCACCCCAATGACCTAGAACCTCGTATTACGCCCCACCTCAAGTTTATTATGGCACTGTGGGGAGAGTCCAAGACTAACACATGGGCGGGCCTCTGGATACAAATTACAGAAGTGAGCTTACAAAATGGTATTTGAAATGGATACAGAATATCACATACTCTGATTACTAGGAAAATTAGAGAAACTAACACCCATGTAAAGTGGAAAGGGATAGTTGGGGGCTGAGAACTCAAGGTCCACAGTGAGTGCATATGTGTCCATGTACGTAATGTGAGCTACATGCAGAGGATGTGTCTCAGTGTGTGTGCTGTGAATTAAGGAGTATTTCAGGATATCTACCAGTATGCAGGGATAGTAAAAACATGTTTTAAAAACTCATGTGAAACCTTTCTTTTTACTATTATAAATTCTTCCAAATATAGAAAACTCTTCTGACAGCATCAAGTGAACTGGATATTTGTTGAGTGTAATTTATGCTGGAAAAAGTGACTGAAATGGTTAGTGGAAGGTTTTGAATCATGACTTTCAGGCTTTTTCTCATTGACTATTTGGGCAGACAAGGCCTGGCTGCTTACATAGCAAGTAACAAACACTAAACTACAGACCTCGTTCAGGCACCTGAGCTCATGGAAATTCTTGACTGTAAGAGAGTTTGAACAGTGGTGACAATAAGCCAAACTAAAATTCTTAAATCATGTCTCTTCAGGGAGCAGGGGAGAGAAATGGTCTAAACAATGTATGCACATATGAATAAATGAATAAACAATAAAAAGGAATAAAAACAGTAAAAAAAAAGTCTTAGTTTCAAGGGCTGCAAAAATGGTTTTTAAATGGATCCTTACTCACAGTTTGTGCTGCGGTGTATGAGCTCTTACTAGTAGTAGTACAGCTTAGTACCTAGGTAATTATGTTTTTGACAACCCTCTGATTACCTGCTAGGCAGATATTTACAATAGAATGACAAAAAGTCAGTAAGAAAGTGTGTGAACCAGCACCAGTGGTTCATGCTTATAATCCTATAATTATGCTACTTAGGGGGGCTGAAATTGGGAGGACAGCAGTTTGAGGCCACCCTGGGCAAATAGTTTGTGAGACCCCATCTCCAAAATAGCCAGAGAAAAGTGGGCTGGAGGTGTGGCTCAAGTGGAGGAGCACCTGCTTTGCAAGTGTGAAGCCCTGAGCTCAAACCCCAGTTCCTCCAAAAAAAGTGTATGATCTTTTTTGCCTTTATCATGAGTATAAAGTAATACTATGATTTTTGGTATGGTTTGTAAAGTCATTTTGTTACCTCTTATTGCCATCTTGCATCATACACGTATAAAAACGTAAAAAATTCCAAATGAAATGATCGAATTTTATGAGGTTGACATGGAATAATCTACACTAGCTTTATTACAAAAGGAGTTCAAAACCTGAGACATATCCATCTGTTTACTTAGCTTTTTATTATGAATTATCGATATTACATGATTTAACTCTTTAGGATGATAAATCATCTTCCTTTAAAAAACAAATATACTGATTTTGGGAAACAACGTGAAAAGCAGTTGCAATCTGGAGAATACTTTATGTGTGTCTAATAATAATTCAAAGTAAGAGATTGTGGGTCTGCCATGAAAATAATCTGATAATAGGTAATGAAAGGAACTACTCTATTTCTGAGTGAAGTTCACTGCATAATAAGCACACATCCATAAAGACATACTAGAAAAAGGTGCTTAGCAAATATTCGTACCTAATAAAAGAAAAGATCAAGATTTTAATGGACATACTAAGTAATACTGTTACTTTTCCTGTCATTCTTCAATTGTTCTGCTTATCAGAAATTTCATGTCAGTTTTATTTTTATCCATGAGATAGTCTATCGAAAATTAGTCAGTTCTGAGAAGAACATCCTGTAAACTAGATAAGTTCTGAAGTGACAAAGAAAATTGTGTAAGGATTCCTGCTATTTATTATATGAAGTGTACAGAAACCTTGCCACAAGCTCCAACAAAAAGCACCCCAAAGAAAAATAGAGGGTGATGATAATCCTTATCAGAACAGTTCTTACTTATAATATAACTTTGCAAAACTGAATCAGGAACAGAGAAAATCTTCATTGTATTATTCAAGTCAGATGCATAGATTTGAACTCAAGAATCTTTTGAATAACTGGGGAATTACAGTTTTAAGGGGCTTCTATTTGAAACTTGCAATTACTGCTTTTTCACCTGATGTAGTATTCAAGCTTCATTGTAAGTACCATTGAGATGACACAACACCTGTCAAAATTAGTCTTCCTGGGAAATCCTGACACACAGGCCATATACTGAAAATATTTCAAAATGTATTACTTTGCATGGATAGCAGCTCAGAGACAAATCATGAACAGCTTTCCATAATTCTGCCTCATTAACAGAATAGTCAACAATGTAGAATGAGTCCTCTAATAGGAAATGGTTTTTTAACTAGTTCTTCTTAAGTTTAACTTTTTAAAACTTTAATTTTGCCCCTTATTTCTGTATACTGCAATTTCCAGAAGGAGGTATAAAAGGCTGGGTGTTCCCAGAGCCCTTTGAGGAGAAAAATAATCTATGTAAATATGCAACGAAATTCTACCTGATGTGAAATAAATGCTTTACTGAAACTTCTCTAGTTTTTTTCAATATCAGATTATATAGTAGAAATTACTACCTTGTTGGGATTTATGTATTTTTTTCTGCCTTTTATGTATTGCCTCAATAATGCAAATATCATATTGCCTGACAAGAAATATCCTTCTCTGTCTCTGAGTAGTTTCATCAGACAGACTCATCAGCCATTGGCATCATTCTTTAAAGAACAGAAAAAAAAAAAAAGAACAGAGAATTCAAGGAATAATTGAATGACTCAAAGTGCTGTTCATTAGCATGATGCAGTCAGAAATCTAATGACACAAGGGCTTTTATTTTTGCAGCATGTTTGATTATACTTTTCCCACTCCTCACATAAGAACCAGAATTTTAAAATGACTCACTAACCTTTCAACCGGCGTAGCTTTCAGATGGTTCAGTGCAACAGAGAGCATGAGCAGAAGGATCTGCACCTTTGGGATGTACATTGCTTCTTGGGTTTTCTGAAAAGGATAATCCAGCACTGAAATCAAGAACTTTATTCCAGTTACAACTGATGCAATTTTAAGTTACAGCCTAACAAAAAACACCTTAAAAACATAATTTATAAGAATCTCAACATTTTAAAATTATTACTTAGTACATTTCCCAATTTCCTTCCCTAAACAAGCTGAAAAATTAATATTATTGTACATTATCCCTTTAACTTTTCCTTGAAATAAACCGTATATGTAACAGCAAGTCTGATTTTCCCTTAGTAAGCAATAATTTTCTTAGAAATAGCAAATTCTTTACCTTTTAATGTTCCGGTGTCAGAAATACTAGAAGGTGCCTTTCGAGCTTGCATCCAGTAGAGAGCTGGCCCCTACTTGCTAACCTGCTGTCCAGCTCTTATACCATCTCACCTTGGTGGGCTCTGACGTCAGACAGCTCAGACAGACTCTGAAGATAGAAAGTGCCTCTCAGGCAGCAGAAGCAGATGGTCATTACCACCCTAACACATCAGTAAATATTAACATAGCAGGTACAGAATGTCTCTGGGCAGTTATTAATGGTGTGTCATGCACAGCAGAAGTTTGAATTTGCCATCTTTTAAAAATGCAAGTAAATTTTTGAGAATGAGATGTACTAACAAGAAATTGATTTAAAGAAGTGATGAAGAATAACCACAAATGTGTTTCCATGCACAGAAGAAAGCCAGAGATGTGGAGCAGGTATAACTAAGTTCAAATCACCTCTCCCCCAAGGATAATCCTATAGACATCCAGAAATATATTAAAATAAGAGGGAAAGGTCTATAAAAATGGTTATATATAGAAAACAAAAGGCATTTACAACAAAGGAGGAGGAGTAAAGTCATAAAAACTAACTTTAAAATCTAAAGATTCACCTGTCAGCATTTATATAGAAATTGTCCTGCAGCATTTTGATGACTTTTCCATTATTACGGAGAAACATCACAATTATTTGGAGGTACATATTTTTTCCCCTTTCCTTCATGAGAAAATTATGAAAGGGTTGGCCCAGGAGCGTAGTCTTGGGTTTGCCTTAAAAATAATTTGTTTCTTTTTATTTACTCCAAATTGTTCTTTCCTTTATCCTGTATTTCTAAATTATACTTATTTCATATATTATTAAAACTTAATATGTAAATCAGCTAAAAGAAACTTCCACTGTCAGTAAGCTGTGCATGTCTATGTGGTCTAAAAAAAAGATAGAAGTTTTCCAAGTTAAAAAATTAAGTTTATTGACTTCATACACTTCTTTCAAGTTTAGTAACATGGTTTCAGGGTGCTTTGTAGAGATTTCAGGAGGAAATAAACTTCTTTCTGATCTTTGTTACAATTATTCAATGATTCTGCAATTTTAATATTTCTGTGAATTTTACTTAAGTTCTAAAAGGGGAAAATGACAAAGCAAAACAAAAGGATTTGGAAAGTCCTGTAAGAAGATAGTGTATCTAACCAGTTATTAATAAGTTAGTTGTGCACAGTGATTTAGAAATAAGACAGGGGCCCAGCGATATCAATTATTATCCAACTTCAAAGAATTCGTCCATGTTACACCCTGGGCCAAAGCTTAACTGCTGGATCACGGTCTAGCATTTATTTAGACAATAATCCCTACTAGTAACGTATGTATTTATTTATTTTTGTAACTTTTTCTTCCTCAGTGATGTTAACAGTGACACACATAACATTCAAAAATGGATTCTGCCTCATTCCCTGGGAAATTAGTATTTTAGGTAAAATGTTCTACTAAGAAAAGAACAGAAAGCCCCAATATTTTTAAAGGACTGTATGTGTCAGTCACATTATTTAATCCATATGGAGCCGTATCGTACTCCATCACACTCACACCTCTAAGGTGGGTACCATTTGCACCAATTCACAGAGGACAAAACTGAGATTCAGAGAACATAAGTGACTTACTTAATATAAGTGACTCCACAGTGGGTTAGGTAAAGGGAACGAATGAGAGGGGATTGAGGACAAAACCAAATGTCTAGTTAGGATATTATGCATAACACAGACTAACAGACTTTCCTATCAAAATTTAAAAGTAAAGGATGTTGTTCATATTTTTTTTGAAAAGTACTAAGATGATTCTTTCTTTTTTTTCCAATTATTCATTTATTCACATGTGCATATATTGTTTGGGTCATTTCTCCCCCCGTCCCCCTCCCCCATTCTCTTACCCCCTCCTCCTCACTTCCAAGCAGAACAGGTTCTGCCCTTATCTCTAATTTTGTTGAAGAGAAGACATAAGCATAATAAGAAAGACAAAGTGTTTTTGCTAGTTGAGTTAAGGATGGCTATACAGAAATATTCCTAGCATTATTTTTAAAGATAATTTTTTTATTGACTTGTCTGTGCTCACAGCTTAAAAAGTCAAAAGGTAGTCCGCACTAATAATAAAAATAGCAGCCCTTGGCTTTCTTCTGCTTAAGTTTAGACAGCTGCTTAGGGTCCAGAGTGAAGTTCAAATTCTCATCTTTCTGTCCCAGGATCAGTTCCTTTGTTGAAAGGATCTCTATTCCCATACACAGAATTGGCAATTGCTTTCATTTTGTACATTTTGTACAATATCTCGATGCTCAAACAACTCTGTGAGGTAGGAAATGTTACTTTTACAAAAGAGCATTTGTGTGTTTGGAGAGATTAAGTAAATTTTTCAAATTCATGTTAGAAAGTGGCCAGGAGAAGAATTTAGCCAACATGTGTCATACACCAATGCTACCCCTCACCCCCCAAGCTGGAAGTGTTATAAAGAAGTTAAAGAATTATTATAACTAGGACTACAGTGAGAGGGAGGCAAAGTTTGGAAATTTGTATCAATTTTCCCTGGCAAATGGCAGAGAAAATGATCAGCTGACACAGGTCATTAGACTGGTCTTTTCCTCTCCTGACCTGCCAGCAATGTCCTTCTTGTCACCTGAAGGGACACGCGTATGAGCCTGCAGCTGCTTTGCCCTTCTCCTGCTCTCTAGTTTGATAGAATTGGAAGCTGGAGTTGGACCAAGTCTCCTGAAAGAGCCAAGTTTTATGAAGATTTCCTTTATATATGAGCTCAGTGAAAAAGGAGAATAAAAAGAATATAATCAGATCTATGAGTGCAATCACATATTATCTCCTACCAAAGCCACTGAGCTTTGAGATTTTTTTCTCTCTGAGAACCATCCAGAAAATACAGAAAGAGGTCATGAGTCTTCCTAGAGTAGAAGCTTTGGATGAGACATTTCCCTCTGTGTGATACTAACTGTTCATCTGGGTTCTGAAGCTCCTCAGCTTCTTCAAATCCTGAAACTATGTATATTTGGGACCATTTTAATAATACTATTATTTTCCATTGCAGTTTGATTTTGAACCAGGCAGCTTCCACCTGGAGTAGATGTGATAAAAATGAACTGGCTTCACACAGTCATTTCTTTATAAATGCCAGTTATGAGTGCTGTAGTTGGATCTAATTATAGAAAGTAGTTTGAAGTGGTAATGTGTGTAGTCAAAAGAACTCTGATTAGGATTTGATTGTTTAAAAAGATACCATAATAATTTCAGAGGGAAACCCTGTGATTATGTCTTAGCAAATCAGGGAAGTAACATATAATTAAAGTTGAAATCTAACTCTTTTATACTCACTGTTAAAAAGTGTAATAGCAAATGCCATAAATTCTTTTGAAGAGTAATGGTTTCACTTTAAGTCTCTGTTGGTTGGTTGATGAAATTTCCAAGTTCACTGAGACATTTTCACATCCATCATATTCCTTTACCCAACACCTACAGAACCAACCAACCGACCAACCAATGGACCAACCACCCATGGAAAGAACACTTTTATTTTAATGTGTTTCAATATAAATGAATTAAAGACAAATTGGATTGTGCTTTGGGCTATTGGTGAAAGAACTAAATATATTCTGAGTCTCAGGGCATCACAGCAACAAAATTTTGCCTATAAACAACAAATAACAAGTAAAAATATGTGTGCACATGCAGACAATCTTAACTGATGGCTAGCAGTAGGATTGCACCCTTATTAGGAAGATTCAAATTTAATGTTGATTTTAGGAGGTCCCTTAGTCAGATGACCTTGTTGAAATCAGATTAAGGGAGGGAATTATGGTAATGATGCACTTACTTAAAATATAGAATGTGATTGGGGTTTTACTGACATTGAAAAAGGAATTCCCAGAATAAAGCTGTGTAGGGCTTTTTTTCTTTTCATTTAGGCAGTGTTTAATGAAAGTTGTATAATTAGACTACTTTATTCTTGCATCTTCTCAATTGTTTCTTCCTTGTATTTGCCCTTTTCCTTTACAACTTGGTGAGATTTGGCTGTCTGTTCCAGGATCTTTTTGCGGTTTTTGTGCAGTTTTAGTCTGGTGATAACCCCCTGCTGGGGTGAATGGCCACATGGACAGTTGTGCCACTGGCTTTTTCCCACTGTACCTGTTCAGTGTAGATGACATATTTCTTCTGTTAAACCTGGACGACTTTGCCAGTCTGTTGACCTTCACAGTGCCCTTGCACAATGTGAATGTCATCATCCTTTCGGATGGGCATGGATGGAACATTGTACTTCTGTCTCACCTCTTTGGAAAGAGGGGAAGACATGATCTTTCCGTGAATGCGGGATGGTGCTTTGAAATGCTTTTTATGTTCTTGATTCAGTCAGAGACACAAAGGGATTGAATTTCATTTTGGCTTCTGTCGCTTCAGTGATGGCCGCAAGTCGGAAGTGGTCTGCATATTGCCTCTGTAGGGCTTTTCATAATTCAAATATCTTAGCATTTATTTAATTGCTACCCTCTACCTCAGCCTTCTCTCCCTTTGCATTTCCAGGGACCAGTTCAATTTTGGGGCATAGGTCTAGACTGAAATGCTTAGTAAGATCTGGTTCTAACCTGTCAATTTATGAAATAAAACAACAGACCTTCTGAGGTAGTGAGTCAGAGGCTGAGACAATTGGAAGGTTGATATTTTCAGCA